GGGCCCCCAAAACACCCTGGGCTGCCAGGGCCCCCCCCAGGGGCCCCGGGGGCCCCCGGGGCCCCCGGGGACCCAGGGGCCCCTGGGGCCCTTGGGGTGTCAAGGTGTAAGAGGGGGGCTGAACGTTCTAGAGATAGACTTTTGGATTGTATGAGTCTAAGCCCCTCTTTGGATGCGCATACAGAGCCCCCATCCCAAGGTAGTGAGGGTAGGGTACGTGTGTGTAAGGAGAAGGTACGGGCCCCCAATCTGTGTAGACCTCTGCTGCTGATACCCGCAGCAGCAGCAGCAGCAGCATGTCTATGTCTAATGGGTTGCGGCACCTTCTTCTTTGCTATTATGGTGCGGAGGTTGCGGGCCGTCTGCAGCGTGACAATGCAACAGGTGAGACAGATGAATAGCAGCGGCAGCAGCAGCATCAGGAAGAGAGAAGTAGCAACATCAAGGCTGAAGAGAACTCGCAGCAGGGNAGCAGCGGCAGCAGCAGCATCAGGAAGAGAGAAGTAGCAACATCAAGGCTGAAGAGAACTCGCAGCAGGGGTACAACCATGACAGAGCCAGAGCTGCACCCCAGCAGCAACAGAGGCAAAACCCCCACTCTAGCTGCCTGCTGTCGGGCTCCAAACCACCAAGCTAAATGTACACACTTAACAGAACCCAGCAGCAGACGCACAAACACTTCTGCGTTTATAATTAAACTATATTGTATAGGAGCGGTGAATCGAGGATCTCCTCCTCTCTCTCCTCCTACATTAGTGCATACAAGCAGTGCAGACAGCGTAGCAGGGGGCCCATAGACAATCAGTGCAAGCAGTAAACGAGATACACGAAATTTTGGGGGGCCCCCCTGGGGGCCCCCTTGTCCTTCCCGTACCCTATCCTGTCCCTCCGCCTCAGGGCCCCCCCACCAAGCCAATGGGGTGTCAGCAGGTGCAACGGCCTTCACAGCAAACAGCCCCTCAGCAGCTGCTCCTGGGGCTTTATCTTCTTCTTCTTCTTCGTATGTATCTCCTGTACTTCTCCTCAACACACGATAAAAGGAACAAGGCCAGTTGCTATCTCCGCCCCCGCTGTTGCCACGCTCCTCCAGTCCCCGTGGTCTTCTCCTCCTTAACACCCCTGTAGCTGATGATGTCTCTCGTGCTGCTGTATCAGGGGGCCCCACAGCAGAAGGGTTCATCTCAGCTCCTGGGGCCCCTGGTGGCCCCGGGGCCCCAAGGGGACCGACGGCCCCCAGAGGTCCCGATGAAGCCCCCACCACCCCCTGCTGCTGCTGCACTGCAACAAGATCAATAAAGTTGTTTCTGCTGCTGCTGCTGCTGGCTGCGCGTTGAGGTTCAGCAGGAGCGTNGCAACAAGATCAATAAAGTTGTTTCTGCTGCTGCTGCTGCTGGCTGCGCGTTGAGGTTCAGCAGGAGCGTGTTGCATGGATTGTATTCCTGATGTGAGTTGTTGTTGCTGCTGCTGCTGCTGCTGCTGCTGTTGCTGTTGCTGTTTGTCTTGTTCTTTTTGTGGTGTATAAGGTAATCTTAAGCATCTCATTTCTGATATAACAGACCACTGGACAAGTACAAGACACCAGCAAGTAGAAAATCTTTGTGTTAGTATTGCAACAAAAGACATCATTCCTAGAAACCAAGACTCAGGCCACATCTTCGTCATCACGTACCACATCACCGGAAACGCTGCGCTGCCGGGGACCCCAGTTGTTATCCATTGAAACGCGTTCGGACGAAACATCCCGTTAAACACTGCAATG